GGGGGGCAGGAAGGGGGAGAACAAGGGAATCTGTGGATGTTATGTAGAACTGAATAGTATTGTAAAATATAATAAAAAAGAAAAGAAAGTTGAGCATCTGTAGAGAAGTTAATTTTTATGTATGGAAATTTTTAATGGAGGAACCATAAAGGAAAAACAAGGTTAAAAGATATTAGAAATTAGGTAAAGAGGCTATTCAGATACATTGGAACATAATGACTCACTTATAAAAATCTAATTAATTTGGCATTTTGATGTGTAAATGTCAGAGAGGTTGACTAAAAAAAAGACCCAAACAATAGAGCTAATTTACAATAATAATTTAGTTTATTATAAAGACGGTTTGTAAAATCAATAGAGCAGGAACCATGATTTCTTTACTTAGTCAATTAAATAATCATAAAGAATAAAATTGCATTACATCCATACTCTCACCAACCAAAGTGGACTCCTGGTATAACAGTAAAAAAAACTTTAAGGAAAAGTAATATTGTAGAAGTACTAAAGGAAAACATGGACCTTTCTCCTCCATCTTCTTCTTTTTATTGTTATTATTATTATTGTTATTTGTGTGTGTGTGTGTGTGTGTGTGTGTGTGTGTATGTGTGTGTCTGAGAAAGAAAACTCTTTTCTATGCAAAACACAAATGTGAAGCCAAAAGGCACATGGGTAATGCATTTAATTAGATAAAAATTAGAATGCTCTGGAAATAAAAACATACCATAAATGAAGTCAAAAGATAAATGACAAACTAAGAAAAAAGAGTTCACAGTAGGGAGCATGCAGACACATCTCACAGACAGTTGCCTTTACAAGCACGCATCACATTTCCACAAGAAAAATACCCAAATCCCATAGGAAAATAAACACTGTACCCGACTCCTCCAAAGAAAGCAGTTCTAGGGAATGGCCAAAAAATGCAAAAAGATGAGATTACTGCATACAGGCTTAGAAAAAAAAAATGCCCTGCTGTAGGGGCTGATAAGGGACACCCTCCAAGACATTTCCAAGTGACAAACTAGGTCAGAGCAGGACTGCACATATATGGACATGTTTGTATTGGAAGGGAAACTTGTGGGAAGACTCAGCAGGAACTCCCCCCACAAGGAGTGAGTTTGAACTCTGGGGAGAAGAGGCTATTGTATTTGTATCTTCTGAGCTTCCTAGGTTTCAAGTCAAGTGCATGTCAATATCCACTGTGTAAAGCTAGGTAATCTTTTAGAGAATGATTATAAAATAGTTGCTTCTTACCAACTGCCATAGCCAGGAACCAGAGGACTTTTCTCTGTAACACTTGTGGGCTGTGGGCCTGTAGGGAGGACCCCAGATGGAAAACCATGCATGGAGGCAGTGCCTAGAGTCACCCTTCAGAGTTCTTTGTCCTCTAAGCCAAGAAACCCACTCATGGGTTTTTCTGGAGGAACAGTCCATACTAGCAAAGTAGTGAGGTGTGCTGGGAGCCGGAGGCTGCTAGAGTAGGACACAAAAATCACTGTCCCTATTTGTGTGGTTTTATCATACCTGGGGCCCTGTTAACAGGCACCCCAATACACTGTTGCCTGAGAGGCAACCAGGCTTAGCGTGTGAATGGGAACAGAACTTAGTCTATGAGATTTTACACTCCCCCTGTTCCTCCTTCAAAGATGAGACCTAAGGCTGTATCACTCACCCTAAGTCAGTATATTTCTAGGTTCTTATAATACTACTTTTAACTGTGTGACCCTAGGAACCTGTGGAAGTCTGGAAGCTCTTCTTGCAACACTTATCTAAAACTGGTTTGATGGTTTTAAGCCATCCATCTACTACTTGAGGATATAGCTGTTTTATCCCAAAGTTCCATGGCTGAGAGAAGTCTTCTGACTGCTGGTAAGTAGTGAGTTGAAGGGAGAAGAACAAGAAGGCTTCTGGGGGAGTTTTAAAGACACAGTGACTCTGGATGCAGAGCTGGTTCTCTGCAGAAGGACAACGGAGCTGAAAGCAGCACTTCTTAACTTCTTATGTTACTGCCTGCCTTCTACTGGGGAAAAACATCCCTGATGTGCTACAAAATCCACCTCATCACAGCAAAGTGGATTTTTTTTTTTTACAGAATGGAATATTCAGCAAGGAGAGGAGGTAGGCCACATCTAACCACACCCACCTGTGTGGCTGGATCTCACAGACGCAGTAGTAGTATAAAGATACCAGACACAAAAGAGTCAACCTATGACCCATTTGATGTGATCATCAAAGATGCTGGCAGAGACAACAGAGGGATACCATTTTCATTTGACAGCAGGGTTTTTGGGGCAGGACAACTGTTCTGAGAGCTAGCTACTTAAGTGAATTCAGTTAGTGCAAATTTACCAGACATGAGGGGTCCATTAAGGCTTGGCCTAGTAGACAAGTCACACTTCAGTAAAGGGTGGTATTTAACCTATTTTCTTTCTTGTCCTCTGAGTGGGGGTTGGCATCACTAATAGGAAAATCCCTGGTGCTGATGTCACATGTCTTCCTGGTCATGTTAGTCTGCTTTTCATTAGTTTTTGTTCTTATTTTAAATGAGCTCCTTTTTTTTTTTTTTTTTTTTTTTTTTTTTTTTTTTAACTTCCTTCCTGGCATTTGAGTCATTTCCCATGTCTTTGTCTGCTGCAGCTAAGGAACTTGGTCTTAAATGTGCTCTGCAAGTCCTACTGCTATTTTCTCCAGGGACTTTCGACCAGATGTAGACATAGGGTGGAGAGAAGACTGGTAGGAATGAGGTTTGAAAACAATGGCTGGGTTTGACCCCATGGCAAGGCTCTGCCCAATCACCTAGACTGAAATCCCTGAAGCATTCTCTCCTGCAGGGCTGAAAGTCCCCTGCTCTGTGCAGTGGCCCTGAAGGTGACCCAGGGAGAGCTTTCACCAACCCCTCACTTTCTAGCCCTGAGGAGGGAGGGGTAAATACTCTGATCTCATGCTGTGGGGAGGCAAGAGTCAGAAGACCTGCTTTCACATTCTATGGATTGTTTTCCTTTCAGATCCACACTTGGAACATTAAGAAGCAGTTCAGATCTGCTTACCTCAGGAGCATAAACAAGAAGGAAGATTCAGGCATCCTTCATATCAAGATCAGCTCCACACTGCATATTTGCCTTAGCTTTTCTAACCTGGTTCTAAGGATCCCAACAAGGGCCAATGTGACATGTCCAAGCTGGCTTCCAGATCCTGGGGTCCTACGTGGTCCTCACCTCCCCTTAACCTGCCAATAGTTATCATCCATGCCCTTGACATAGAGAGACAGACATGCTGTACAAACTGCAATAAGAGAGGACATTCCAGATATAAACTGTAACATCCAGGAAGTCCTGGCTTCAGTCCCAGGGCCCTGCCTCCTACAAGGCACACAGACATCCAGAAGAGCACACAGTAGGAATGTATTCTTTTCAGTATGCATGTGGCAGGTTCCTTGAATGTGTGCTGAGAAGTCAGAATGTTCCAAGAACTACACATGTGCTGGGGACATAATCAAGGGAGAGAGGCAAAGTGAAGGTGGAGTGGAGACTGCTTCGGTCTGGGTAAAGGAGAGTCTGGCAGGCTGGGGGAAGTGGGAGGACAGGGCATCTCCTACACTTAGTATGTCACTGGCTAGGTGGAGGGTAGGATCGTGAGAATACCAGTGTGGTTTTAGTCTCACTGGCCGTGGCAATATCAGAGGGGAGGGGTGGGCAGCTGGGAGCTCTGATTTGGAGCTAAAAAGACTATGGCATGGATATGAAAAGCCATTGCATATGTGAGGTTTGGGGAATGGGTGGCATTGTATGGAAGAAATGGGATATGAAGGAGACAGACCCAACATCAGAAAAGGGAGAACAAACCTAGGGCATGTCACCCTCCAAGCACCCACAAACAAGATAATCCAGGAGGCATGCATAAGGATCAAGTAGGAACTGCAGATTGCCATGGCCTGTGGGAGTCAGGAGCCTACATGAAAGTAGCTTTAGGGTGTTAAAGACCTAGGAAAGGGAGTATGTATTTGGAAGAGAGCAAGAAGACTGTAGTGGTAAGCACACAGTGGGAGATCAGGGCTGGGGTGGAGGAGGAAGGCGTTTAGAGCTTGGAATTTTGAGTCAAATGCCTCCTGCTCCTTCTGTGTCTTTAAGAATCATAAGATCTGCTTTACCGTGTTCATTGCTGAACTACTCAAGATAGCCAGGCTATGGAATCAACTTTGATGCCCACCAGTGGAAGAAGAGATAAAATGAGGCATACATACACAACGAATCACATCATTTGTAGGAAAACAAGTAGAATTGGAGATCAACAGAGTGAGCAAAATAAACCATAGTCAGGAAGACAAATAGCTTGTGATTTCTCTCACACGGGGGATGGCTAGGGATGGAGAAGAGAAAACAGGGTTAAGAAAGGGTAAACGAGGGGTAAGTACGATGAAAGTACATCCCCGCATGTGTAAAAATATCATAATGAAACCCCTTAGTTGTGCAATCAAATATATACACACATTTTACTTTGTACAAATATACATACATATATAAAGTGTGTGTGCCTATATGTGTATTGTGCGTATGTATGCATGTAGTATATGTAATCTTGAGTTGTGCAATACAGGGAAAGGAAATCAACAGTAAGCTCCAACAACAGCAGGACTACACTTGAACTGCCACTTACATCCTTTAATATCTTTTTTACATATTGAGTTATGTTTCTTAGCCTGACTGCATTTTCTCATGGGCAGTTGTCTCCACCTCAACCTGAAACTTGGAGTTGAGTAAGAAATATATTTGTCTTACTGAATTCAGTGGAACCAGCTGGTTTTGCAATGGGCAAAACCACACCTACAAACTGGTCAGCATTTAAGATTAGTTTAGGAGTGTAACTTTTCTTTGGATTCAGAGATGACTTATTAGCACACCCAAATCACCCCTGCTGTAAAACAAAAGCTGGAAGAAACTCCTCACACTCTCACTGAATCATGGAGGTGCATCATTGGGAGCCCCGGGTATTCTGGCTTTGCCCACCTTAGGGATCCTTGTGAAACTGCTTTGGTGTGATGTGCCAAAATACCGTGTTTCATCCTGAGCAGGCAGAGGATGCGCTCAGTGAGTTTACAACAGCTATGGCGTGTTGAGACCTGGAGAGGTTGAGTATCTTACTCTGCTGCATACCACCCTTGTCCTTCCCGTGGGAAAAAGGAAGGTGATGGCCGCACATGAATGGGTGTGAACACCACATGTGAGTCAGCTCAGGCACATCTGCCCATGACCGTGTTTGTGCTCTCCACTGTCACTGTACCTCAGGCTATAGATCATGAACACACTAGTAATGCCCAGCCTTCCCAGAGGTGTGCTTTTCATGTTTCAAGGTACCACTTGGACTGTCTGACAACAAAACCAGCCATTTCCCTCTTCTCAGTTGGTGCATGGAAGAGAGATTACTCTCTCTCCGGAAGCAACTGTCTGAAGTCCTTTCTCTGTTCTACTGTGGATAGGGGATTGCAGAAGGACAGTTTGACCCCTAGAACTGTGTGGAGATTTGACTCTATCCACTGACCAAATACCCATAGGCCTGGGAAGGATTTCAGATGCTTCTGAGTCACTTCTTGTCCCACAAAGTAGAGTTTTTAGGACTAAGAAGTCTAGAGATTGAGGGTGTAAGTAACAACCTAGCATAAGCTGCTTGAGCAGTAAAATACAATCACTTCATAGACAGTGTTTCAGGAACACTGATTACATGCCTGGGTCATTCTACAGGTCCAGGAAGTCTTTGAAAACCCAGGTACCTTCTCTCACTTTGCACTATATTTCCAGATGGCTCTTTTAAACTCAGCATCTTTGAAAAACAGCCTCCAGAAGATCATCTTGGTGGACAAGTTGAACACCCCCTTCTGTATTGTCTTGGGGCCAGAGGGACCTTCTCAGAAGCACAGAGTGTTTCCTCTGACCACATGAACGGCCTGTGCAATGTGTCCCTCCTGAATCGGGGGTTGGTTAGAGGAGGCATGCCATCATGAACTGTCAAGCTTCTTCACCAGGGTAGAGGAATCCATTAATACCTGTTGAAACCCATTGGCAACTGGTACACAACTGAATTTCTCATATAAAGTGCAAAGATGGAAATCATCCAAAAGGCATAAAAGGTTATATTTAGGATTTTCCACTACCTAATTTACACCTAGAGAAATAAACCCAGATCATAGATGGAGCCAAGGCAATTCCAGCTGTAGACCCATCTTGGCAGGAATATGGGCAATTGATTTGCTGTTTAGTGAGGTTGAGGGCTACATGGGACCATTTGTTGCTCCACTGAGGCTGCTGGTTATCATGAGTACATACTGGTATGGCTAGATGATGATTTTCCAAAAGATACAGAAGTCTTGATTTTTATTTAAATTTTCACATTGAAGTGTGAACAACTGGTTCAAATACTATAGAACAGTATGGGATCAAACACTAAGTGATAAAAAGTTGAACCAACTTGGAAGCCAACAGTTGCTTCATCCAGAAGTAACAAGACAGGTCCAAAAGTTGTCATTAAAAGTGGGGGCCATGGCTCTCATCTTGGAGGCATGAATTTGAGATGACAATGTATAAAGGGGAGGCACCTGGGGTTGGACCCTTGTGTTATAGGGGAGGCCTCAGAGTATTGTTATGTTCTCCCAGGTTCAGATCACTTTCCAATTTTCACTATCTAGAAAGAACTTGAAAGGAGAGTGAGATGTACCAGGGTGTTCAGAAGAACATGTTAATGCTTCTGTGGTGGGCAGGCACTCTTGCCATGAAAGAGTAAGGTAGGGCATGACAACATGACTCAGAGGTTCAGATCAAAGCCAGATGCAATCCAGAGCTATTATGGGAAGGGAAGTTGGATGATGACATGCAGTCACTGGTGAAATAATATTGGGCAAATGAGCCCAGCAATGAGACACACACACACACACACACACACACACACACACACACACACACACGACAGGTGAATTAGCAGAGTCAGCTGGAGAGGCAAAGGCTGTGACTAGTTTATACCCTGGACCGTGTACAAAGTTCCTCTGAAACCTCAGCTTAGTCTTTCCACCCTGGTATCTGACATAGAGTCTCCAATCTTGCTCATGTGCTGGAGAATTATGATGGGGATATTTAGTTGGTAAGGACCATTCTCCATCATGCTATGCAGGAGTAGACTCCATAACTACTACCATCCCCTGCCTCGGCTCCACCACCACATCCCAAGTCCACATAATTGTACATAGAACTCACCCTGACTGCCAGTAACTTGAGGGGTGTGCCACCTGCGAGCTTTCTCCTTCCACTGGGGTGCAGAGTAGCTATGTCTCTGACTTTTCAGCTTGTCCCTCCTTCTCCTGAAATCTTTCCTAATTTTCTCTTTCCAAGAGACCAAGATACCAAAGGAAGCCTTGTGCCATTTCAAGAAAAGAGATATCAAAAAGCCAGGCTCATTTAGAGAAGGAACAGAACCAAGTTCAGTCAGCTTGTTTTTCATGGGGCATCAAGACATGTTTGTTCTTCATTCATCTGTACAGTAAGGACACAGTGGAGTCTATGCTGTGTGGTTGTCCTGGTTACCCTGTTCTGACTTCCCTCAGATGTGAATATGAGGTTGGGGTCTCTCACTGGCCTATCAGAAAAAAATCTAAGGGAACAGGAGAGTTAAGATACTCCCCTAAAGTCACAAAGCGTTGGCAAGCCAGGAAGAGGAGAATTCATTGGTGTGTGTGTCCATATCCCAGGGCTCTGTTCTTCACACTTCAGAAGTACAGTTGATGGGAAATGGCCAGGGGAACTCAGCAAATCTAGACTCTTGGGGATGAGGTGTGACTGAGTCTTGCCACCAGGGCACACAGAGAGATCCATAAACAGCAACTGCAAAATCCCTATGCTTTGCCAATGGTTCTGAGCACTTCCATCTGGCTCAAGGGAGAGGCCCAACTCTGATTTGGCCTGCATCCAAAGCATAGGTAGCACATTTGGGCTCCAAAGGCCAGAGCAAATGCTTCCCAGTGGGTCTGAGAGTTACAAGTGCATCATGCCTACAACCTCTTTTTCTACATCCCACAAGGAAGATCCATTTGAAGTTGTGAAGGACCTCAATAAAAAGAAAATTGACCTTAATTCATTGTGTGGCAATAACAAAATACCTGATTCTAGGTATTTATAAAGAAAAGAGGTCTATTTAGGTCACGGTCTTAGTGCTTGAATATGTGCAAACTGTGCACTGCTAGTGTCTGGTGAGGGGCTGTGGCTGTCTCACAACATGCAGATAGTATCTTGTGGGGTCACAGTGAAAGGACAGATACTGCATTGCCTAAGGAAAAACAGAACTCTGAAGAGGTGCCAGGATTCTTCTACTATAACAGGCCATTGTCCTAAGACTGATCTACTCTGGCAATAATTCCTTCATAAAGGTGATCATGACCTAATCACCACCTTCCAAAAACATTACGTGGATGACCAAGCTTCTAGCATGTGACTATTTGGAATCAAACCATATCTAAACTACAATAGAATTATTCCTGGGTGCCTTGTGACATGAGCAGTCCCAGAACATCATATGGCTTGTTTCAGGAGATGAACAGTGTCATTATG